TTCTTTGTTTAATTTAAGTTAACTAATTGTTGAAGATTATTATGAAAATATTTTGAGTTTCCTAGAATTTAAAATTGATTTTCACGTTAAATGCAATTAGTATATTTTAAATTGTTTTTTTACTTATAGTAGGAAAGTGTGATATCCATTATTACAAGTGTATTATAGTATCATTCACATGTAGCGTTAACATAAAGGGTTATGTTTATTTTGCTATGTGCTAAAAACAGTGATTCTGACAGTTCAATAATTAACATTTGACCGATTAATAATTAAATGTAATAAACAGTCATATTTTATTTATTTACTTTTACATTGCTCGAATATTACATATTAGGTATCATGATCATTAAATTATAATGGACTTTACTATCAATACTCACTAAAACTTTAATAAATTTTAAGTTACTTGAATTAATAGAGAATTGTACATTTGATGATAGAGTAGATTTATCTAGAATTATTTTGGCTCTAATGTGATGAGTTTGATTGTCATGAGTGGTAACAGAAGATAGGTTTTACTGTGTTGCTTCGTTCACTTTTTCTATTCCTCTAATATAAGAATCTGAAGAAAATTATAAAAATATTTCAAATAGTAACAATTTGCGTAACATCAATGTACTTTTTACTAATGAGTTGATCCAATTAATTTGATTATATTCATTAATTTGCATAAAGACCCTGATACTATCATATTTTTGCCGCTTTATTAAACTCTATAACATTATTGTTATACTTGCATTGAACTTTGTTACTCACAAGACCTTCCCATTTCCATGGATATATTTGGATTGAATCACTGAAATCAGTAATAATGTATTTACTGTAAGTACAATAAAAGTAAATAAAAAATATACTAAGTATATAAAGCAAATATTATAAATATATAGACATATCATTCATTTAAGTTCTTAATGAGACTGCAATTATTTTTACCACATTAAAATTGGAGTAATGAAAATACGATTGAGTTAAACAATGATTTTTAGTAAAGAAATATCTTGAAATGTATAACTGGGTAACGGTTGTTTGCTATTTTTGGGAAGTATCCAAAAACCATATATCATCAACTTCATAGCGATTGTACAAAATCAAAATATTTAATAAAGATAGGTTACATTTTTGGTGATAAGAATGAGATTTATCATCTAACCTGGGTAACGTAAATATTTAATATTTCTATTATTGACTTCACCGGTTAAAGTTATAACAAAATAAGAGAAAACTGTTAATTGTGTTATTGCTGGTGACACATTCGTTATTTTTGTAATTTTAAATCATATAATTTTATTATTCATTGAAACTCGTGAATAATTAAACAACTTTACATAAAGATTATTTAAAAAATTATTATCATGTAAATGTACACTTGCCTTCTCTAATTAAAATTTTTGTGTATGTTACTATCCATTGTGAAAATATTTCGTTTTTATTAGCCTATAAAGCTTTTATCATTGACGACAAAACCACATACCCAACAATTATATAAAGAACAAATTAATAGAAGACTTAGAGAGATTAAAGTAATACTTTTTTTCATTATAGTAATTACTATATAAATAATTAATCTTATTAAAATTGAATACTCTCAACTTCTGCATAATTTAATATGTAAAGTATGCATCTTTAAAGAATACAAATATTTTTGAGAAGTTGATTGTTAAATTTTAAAAAATAAATTAAAATAAAGATATTTATTTATATTTAAAGTTTCAGGAATATACAAGTCATATATTTAATCTTTGTTAACTTGAAATAGATAATATTAATTTACCAGGCACTTCTTAAAAATTGAAAATTTAGATTTTCAATAAGCATGTGTTATATATTACAACCTTAGTGGCTTAATTACAGGAATAATTAAGGGAGTTTAATTTCTTTCAAATATTTTAGAAATATTATAATACTGAATAATTACCAAGTACATTAACATAACTCTTATATGAATTCTGTTGTATATTAATCAAAGTACCATTTGGTACTTTAAAGTACCATTAAAATAGTTGAAAAAATAATTTTTAAAAGGTAGTGTAGTATATAAAAACAACTCTAGTATTGTATAAAAATCACAATGCCTAATATTTGATTCATATGAATAATTTTTTTTTTTTAACTAGTAATAAAAGATTTGGTTGAAAATACTTAGAATGAATCTAATGGACTTGAAATTGGACAACAACCTGCTATTTTCTAAAATGGTAATACTTATATAGTAACCAAAATAAATTAATTTTACTTGAAGTGCTTAAGGATTTATCCATGTGTGTAGTTGACTCTGAAACTTCAGAACTCAACTACAAAAATGGATAAATCCTTAAGCACTTCAAGCAACAAGACAATCCATGAAAGCTTTAACACATTCATAAAATGAATTTTATTTAAAATTAGTTTAATAGATAAATTAAACACTTAGAGTAATATTATAATACTTTAAAGAAGAAATTTTATATCACTCTTGTAGGCAAATTACTGTCTTAATTAGTAATTTAATAAATAAAAAAATAAGAACTCTTAATAAAAAAAATAATTTAATTAAATCGCTAATATTAATAATAAGTAAATAAGATAATTTAATGATTTTTTTTATTTATATTTTGCCAAGACAAAATTATTTTTTTATTGTTTATATTTTTATATTATTTATTATTTATATTTTTTCGTAATATTTAATATTTTTGAGATAGATCAAAAATACTACCCTTAGGGTATCATTTTTAACTCTCTTGGGGTAATCAAACACAACTAGGGGGTGGCACTAGAATTTTAAAAGTTCATAATTAACGGCCACTCTAACTGACACTAAATAGTATCTCCCAGATCTACTAAGGTAATGCTGTAATTTTTAGTAACTAAAAAATATCACAAATATTTTACTGTTTAAGATATTTTATTTATTTTTTGCAGATTATTAATTATAAGTAACAAAAATTTCATAAGTCGGCAGCTAGGAAATACCGATTCAAAGCTTATAAAAGAGTACTGAACAGAACAGTAAATGACTGGCTGAAGAGATTTCTATTCTACTAAAGTAATGCTGTCAATTTTATTAGCTAATAAATATTAAAAATATTTTACAATTCTATTTATAAAAATTAATTATTTTATATGTTTAATCGTTATGATTGATAATAAAGAATAAATTCTGTAATCTAACATTTACTAACCCTATATATTGTAAAACAAATTATAACTCATATTTAGTGTGTTAAAAATTTCATAATACCTAGACATATTTTATTATTATTAAATTATTACTTTGTATAGTTTCCAAAAAAAAAAACACACCTAAATTTTATTATTCTAATGGGAGTAAACCTATGATTTAATAAATATTCAATTTCAAATACTAGATTATTTTCTCATAATGCTGTTCAATTTTAGTTTCTAACGAAATAAACAAAAATTATTCAATACATATATAAAAAGTGATTATTTTGTATATTTTTATTCATTACAAATGGTATAAAATATAAATTCTGTACATTCTTATTTAAGTTTATTATATATTGTAAAATAAAATAAAAATCATATTTAGAGTGCATATAAGTCACAATACCCATATATTTCCTATTATTATTAAATGAGATTACACTTTTATAATTTATTAAATGATTACTTTATAATATAACAAAATAAAAGACAGCCTTGCTATTGAAAGTAAACTAAAAATGTAAAGAATTCAAGTTTTATATGTCATATTCTAAATTTTTTTAAAAAACGCAGATAAATATTTCAGTCTTTATTCTGTTTTTAAAATATAATTAAGTTAAATTTAAAAAATTATTATTGATTAATTGCAGCTTATTATTTAAAAGTAAAAATGTTAATTAAACCTACTCCCAAAAAAAATTTAAAAACTTTGAATAGAAAATAATATAAAAAGAAATTTTAGCGATTTAAGTATATTTACATTTTTGCAATCAACAATTTAAATAATAATAATAAAACAGAATAATTAAAAAAAATGAAACATAATCAAAATTTAATTTAATTTATACAAAAACAAATATACTAGAAAAATGAATAAAAATACTATGTTTTAAAATGTTACAAAATGTATAACACAATGATTTAAACTTAAACTTTGTATTAAATCATGTCGTCCGACAATATGCTGTGGCAAAAATAAAAGAGTTATAAAGTATTTATATAATTTCAAAAGTCGGTGGTATGTATAGGTAAGTTTATAACTATTGAAAATTAGGAAATGTGGAAGCGATATAATGTGGATAATTAAATTAATTGGCTAAATTACAATTATAATTTTACAATAATACTAATCAGCACATTATGAATACTTGAGATGATTATTGTTCGTATAAAGTTTGTTGTTGTTAGATAAGAATTTCGTGTTCATGTTGAAAAATCGACCGAAAAACGCAGTGATAGAATCGTGTCTATCGTCGATATAATTGTGTTGAATTTCCATGTTTAGATCGAATAGTTTGCCAAATTGTATCAACTAGAAAATTAATTGATCGACACTAACTACAATTGTGATTTACTTATAGAAATTTGATTCATTTACCTCGTTTCGACCTGTTGTTTTAGGTATGTGGAGTGCTACGTTGGGAGCAATACTTCTCAACAGGCCGAAGAGTTTTTACCGCCTCTTTTGTAATTGCTACACATATGCTTTTCGAGACTGTAAACTTCGTGTTTCTTATACGTAGGGCCGCCCCATGGAGGCGACGTCACTATGACCTGTGGCTTATATTTTTTCAAGGTTTCTGCAATTTTGAAGAAATCTCCCAGTATAAATGTAATTTTCTCGCTGACTCCGTAAATCTCAGCATTTCTTTTCGCGAATTCCAATTTATTAGCATCGTTATCCACAGCGATTACTTGTTTGTATCTTTTGGCCAATTGGATGACGTTACCACCAGCACCACAAAACGGATCCATAGCGACGTGTAGACCAGGACATCTCAACGCTATGTGTGTACTTAAGATTTCGGGACAAACTGAATAAAATGATTCTCAAAAAAAACGTTATCGTATTAAGAAAAAAACATTGTCAAAAAGTTTGTCGAAATAATAATTTTATTACCATTGTCCATCATGATTCCTTCGTCGAATTTAGAAAACAATAAGTACCTCTTAACCCATAAATGTTTTTTAATATCATTAGGCCGAGTTCTAGTTGCAGAATTTTTGTTGTTATTATTTTCACATCGTAAAGTTCTATTTTCTTTAGTTTTTTCCAGGTCTTCTGATGTTTCAATAACTTCTGTTAATTTTTTAAGCGGTTTTCTATTAAAGTTGTTCGGATTATTTATTAAAGTGTTGTTTTCTTGAGTTGATGTGTTAATAATTCCCGACAATATTTTAAACGGTTGAGTTGAAAGATTGTTTTTTGACTGTGATATGTTCGTGTTAAAGGAATTATTAGATAATACAGAAGTGTTTTGAGCTGAATAACGTGTATTATTGGTCTTGTATTGTTGTCTATTTTCGGGTTGTTTGAATTTATTTAACTCTTGTACAATTTGTGGTTCTTCAGTTTTCCGGTATTTCATAAGTCTGTCTTGGGCCGTATAACGTTTTTCGTTGTTCACTGGATAACGTTTAGCGTTATATGTTGCACAATTATTCGACTTAAGTCCAGGTTTGTACGCATTTTTCCATGTAAAATTCTTTTCATATATATTGCCGACGTCTTTGGGTTTCAAATTTTCAGCATTCCAAATCTGAGTGTTGAGACTTTTTTTAGATGTTGAATATGTCAATACGAGTTCATTTTTGTCAATACATGCCTTAAAAAATATAAGTATAAATAACTATGCTATGTACACATATTTTTCACTTACGATGTTAAATACTTCTTTCTTTTTTATAACATTGGTAAGGATATTCATCGAGGAGGTGTCGAAAAATTCCCCACATATTCCTTGAAGTTTAACACGATACTCTTCGGGCTGTTCACGATTCTTGTCATTTGCTCTGGTAACTGTTAAATTTTGCATGTAGTCATAATATCTTATGACAATTCGATCTCCAACCTCCAAAGGTGCCATGTTTATTTTCAATAATATTGCAACTGAATTTGACGGCTGTTTTTGAAAATAGTCAATATGTTCGACTTGCGAATGCCGCGTTGATTTCAAGATTTTTGACTTTTGATTTCGATACGACTGAGACTAATAGACTAGTTTGGCTTCCACAAGAGCTTGTATGTTCTTCGTTCGCTGGTTAGACTAAAAGTCCCAATGCATTTTCAGTTTACTAGATCTTTTATACTAATTTTTTTCCGTTTTTTTGGCCCACAACATATAACGTTACTAAACACAATTTATTGTGTAATTGTTTTGAGCCAATATTTAAATTATATTTTTTCTAGTGAAACATATTGAAAAGATTTGATTTAGTAACGTTATTTGTTGTTGGCCAAAAAGTCTTGTTTATTTTTTATTTAAGCCAATTAATATAACAAAATATTTTTGATGATTGGCTAATAATTATAAAATTCGTATAATAAAATAACTTATTTGGGTCACTTAGTTACAACTACACAAGCATAGTTAGTCAATCACTCTGTATAATTCGAAAAAATATAATTTAAATATTGGCTGAAAACAATCTATTATGGTGATCATAAACATGAGAAAAAAAGCAATTGTAACTTAGTGACCGAAATAAGTTGTTTTATTAAACAAATTTAATAATTGTTTGTTAATCAATAAAAATATTTTGTTATATTAATTGGCTTAAATAAAAAATAAACAAGACTTTTTGGCCAACAACAAATATAGTTACTAAATCGAATTTTTTCAATATGTTTCACTAGAAAAAATATAATTTAAATATTGGCTGAAAAAAATTTACTATGGTGATGGTAAAATAACATAATTATTTTTGAAATAATGAAAAATTGTTTTAGCAACGTTATATGTTGTGGGCCAAAAAAACGGAAAAAAATTAGTATAAAAGATCTAGTAAACTGAAAATGCATTGGGACTTTTAGTCTAACCAGCGAACGAAGAACATACAAGCTCTTGTGGAAGCCAAACTAGTCTATTAGTCTCAGTCGTATCGAAATCAAAAGTCAAAAATCTTGAAATCAACGCGGCATTCGCAAGTCGAACATATTGACTATTTTCAAAAACAGCCGTCAAATTCAGTTGCAATATTATTGAAAATAAACATGGCACCTTTGGAGGTTGGAGATCGAATTGTCATAAGATATTATGACTACATGCAAAATTTAACAGTTACCAGAGCAAATGACAAGAATCGTGAACAGCCCGAAGAGTATCGTGTTAAACTTCAAGGAATATGTGGGGAATTTTTCGACACCTCCTCGATGAATATCCTTACCAATGTTATAAAAAAGAAAGAAGTATTTAACATCGTAAGTGAAAAATATGTGTACATAGCATAGTTATTTATACTTATATTTTTTAAGGCATGTATTGACAAAAATGAACTCGTATTGACATATTCAACATCTAAAAAAAGTCTCAACACTCAGATTTGGAATGCTGAAAATTTGAAACCCAAAGACGTCGGCAATATATATGAAAAGAATTTTACATGGAAAAATGCGTACAAACCTGGACTTAAGTCGAATAATTGTGCAACATATAACGCTAAACGTTATCCAGTGAACAACGAAAAACGTTATACGGCCCAAGACAGACTTATGAAATACCGGAAAACTGAAGAACCACAAATTGTACAAGAGTTAAATAAATTCAAACAACCCGAAAATAGACAACAATACAAGACCAATATTACACGTTATTCAGCTCAAGACCGACTTAAACAGTACAAGGACACCGTTACTCCGAAAGAAACGCAGCCTAAACAGTATGGCACAAAGAATACAGATATGAACCGATATGAAGTTAAAGTAAAATACTGCAACGAACGAAATCTCAGCACTGACATAACAACAAAAGACCTATGTACCAAGAAACCAACATTAAAACTAGGCGAGACGCAAAAAGTTAGTTATTTATAATTATCATACAAACAATCTTTTATTACTACATTTTTTCCATAGATAATGATAGTTCAAAAACGATCGAAGACATGTTATCTTGTACACTCTATGGAGAGTAGGAAGTGTGTTATCACCTTGTGTGAAAAACTACGCGAAATTGGTGGTGAAACTGATTTGATAATAAAATACTATACAACCTATAACTCCTATTCATTTGTATCGGTCAGACAATGTGTATATTCCTTAATGTTGTTAACAGAAGATTACGGGCTGTAATGATGTCTTTTTATATTATATATATTTTTTTCATTACGTTTATTATGAACTATTTGAATTTTCATAACTAATCATCTTATTGCTTTGTTTATTGTTTATATATTTGCTTTTTGTTACATTATTTTCATTTTTTTTTTGCTTTATTAAATTTTTTTGTTCACTAATCTATTTAAATCAAATAAAGCTATTTGACACTTATAAAACATTGTTATCATCTAATTTTATTTTACTTATTTTGTACGTCAATTAGTTAATACACTTCTAATTGTAAATTGGTTAAAAAATTGCAGATCACTAGTTAATAACAGAGTATATGAAAATAATCTTTGTCATATAATCTATGTTAATATATCTATGATTAATGTAATAGACAAATGGATAAAGATAGAGGTAGTAGGGTATGTTTTGCTATAAATAGTAATTATAAAATTTCCTGAAAGCATATTAATCTTAACAAAATCATTTTTTTAATTCTCATAAAATTTTTTATTTAATGATGTCAATTTCAAACTAGTAAGTTGAGATATAAATCATGGTAATAACTTTTAGCTTTTTTTAATACTCGTTTTTAACTATCTATTAATAATATCAAAAATTAGTGGTGATGGAAAAAATCTAAATGCAGAATAAAAATCAACGTGAAAAATGCTTTTAGAAAAGTATATTTTCGATTCTGACGAAAATTAATTGTAGACCATTTATTCATAATTAACAAAAAAGTTTTGTGTCAGGCCCTTCAATTTTTATACGTGTTTGACATAAAAGTAACAACTATTTATTACTTTTTTTTTGTAATTTTTCCGTAAAAACTACAATATTAAATAATTAAGAATCAATTTCAACACTACATTTCTATAATAAATATTTATTCTTATATTATATTTACAAATCAAAGAATTGATAATTGGGAATAAAAAATGAAGTAGGAGTTAATTTTCTTCTGAAATAATCCACCAATTTCTTAAAATTAAACACTATTTACAGATTTGCATCGAAGTGTCTTTTATGATAGTGATTTTAATCCCTCTCAGATTTTATCTATACTTGTCCCAATTATGCCTCGTCCACACTGTGCCGTGGTCCCACTGTGCTACCGTTTAAAAATATTATATTTAATTAAACGTTCTTACATTTTTGATATGACTTTATCAAAAAATTAATATATTGTCCCCCCATATTGTTTTTGTCACAAATAAATATTGCTTTTGTTTCTGTAATCATTCTAATATGAGTAATTAGCCGTAAAAGTTAAAAAGTCACTTTCTTTTACAAAAAAATAAAAAATACTTAGTATTTCATTTATGAAAATGCTCTGCGGCGTCTGACATACCGAAGCCGATATCAAATTAAAGATTTTTAAGACAATTATTTTGCATCCTTAGTGTGCTTGATTTTTTATTTTACTCATATATTTTCAAACATTTTCAGTAAAAAATTAAGCGAACGAACGAATTTTAGTAGGTGGGGGTTGGTGCAAGAATTCATCACACTCGACTATGGTGTATAGCAAATTTTATACACTTTGACTCAAATTGTTGACAAAAATTTTTGCTATCTTTAGAAAATTTTTCTGTTCCGTTCAGAGAAATCGTTTTATCAACAATGTAAACAAAAATAAAAAAAACTATACGACACATACACAATATGTTCAAAAATCTATATTATCGTTTAATAATTAGACTAGTGTTTTAACTAAAGATTTTCCTCGTTAATGGGAATATTAATCTCCAGATTATAACAGAAGAATATATTCATGAAAAAAAAATGCAACTAAATGGTATTTAATAAAATTTCATAAATGTATAAAGTAATAATTATTTATGCAAAGTTTATAATAAAGTAAATAATTTTTTACTTGGTTGAATACTTTTTTACTTTACAGAAAGCAAAAACATAAAAAAATTTGTGTCAAAAAAAACATTCTATGGCTTCTCAAATTTCATATATTTCTATAGCTTCTAAATTTTTGTAAATCTATGGCTTCTTAATTTTTCTGCTATACTATGACTTCTCTTTGTTACTGCATACACATGGGTTCTTAATGTTATATGAAGTCATTTTTAAAGCTCCCAAAAAGATCACCTGAAACAAAAAATTATAATACAAAACTGGTTATTGACCAGTAAAAATTTTATGTAGACTATTTTTTATTTAATAATAAAAAAATAATATTATCCTATATAATTTTCGAAAATTACTCCTAAAATATACTCTTGGGAATAATTTTTTTTTACAAAAAATTTTACAATTACAATAGTTAATAAAAATTAATTAAATTTTAATCTACGCATTTTTATAAAAATATTAATATTTTATAAAAAAATTTGAGGGTAATATGCTTAATAAATTATCCTGTATAGTATTGCTAATAACATTTTTATATTTCATAAACACTGTTCAATATATACAATGTATATTATACATGCTATATAAAAGTATTTGTAGTTTGATTTATAGTGTTTAATATTGGGGAAAAAACGCTTGATATATTTTGTTATAGAATAGGTTGGGAGCGGTGCAGCGTAGGGTTTTTGTTTGTCAGTTAGTCGAAAACCGGACAGCGACTGATGAGTCCGGCGCACCTATAGTTTAATTCGTATATGAAAGGTAAATGATATATAGTAAAAATACAGTCCATAATATTAACTAAAATGAAGTGATTTTTAGTCAACATTTAAAATACCGAAAGCTACCGACTAAATAGACCATTGGCCACGGATTTGTAATTAATAAATTGAGCGAAAATCGTTGAGCGGAGATGTCTTAAATTCGATTAAATGTCTAAGTATGTCAGCTGAAAATTACACTGCGGCTTGGAAAACGTTAACAGTGCGGTTTAATAACACAAAGGTTTTAATGCAAATTCGTGTAAAAGCGATTTGCGACATGGAACTCTTGAGTAGTGAATCTGATATAAAACTAAGGCAATTTATAGATAAATTAAGTAATCATATCCAAAATTTGAGAACACTTGGGTATGAGCCGAATAATTGGGATCCGTTAATGGTTCATATTGTTATGATAAAATGACTTTACGCGCTTGGAAAACATCCGCTTGTCAAACAAAAGAAGTCGAGCCAAATGAATCATTAGAATTTTTAGAAAGCCGTTTTAAAATATTAGAATCGATGGAAACATCAAAAACGATCACTTCGCATGTTCTAGGAGTAAATGATCTAAGCAATAAAAATGAGAATAAAAAGAAAAAATTATTTACTAAATCATTTGCAATAGCTGATAAAACATTGGAATCTTTTGTATGTAAAGCAGTGGCGTACTGATAGGGTGGCATGACGAGCAGTGAGTCACGGGCACATGACTCAGGGGGCTTCATGAGAAATGTAGCAAATCCAAAAAATAAATCACCAATATAACAATAATTAAAAATTTGATGATTTAAAAAACTTTGTTCTACAAAAACGAATTGTTAAAATAAATTGACTATTCAGAATATACGATTATGTTATACGCAGATTATTTTATCTAACAGCTCGTCGACGCCTGAAATATTTCATAATAATTGTGGAACAAAAATAACATTAAAACGTATTGCAATCATGTGATTAGAAACTAGGCGAGTGAATTTATAAGTTAGAACAGTATTACCTCTCGTCCAGGAAATATTATTGACTACTGTCAATTTGTAACCACTATCATTTTACATGATATTCATTTAATTATTTTATATTTATTATTAGTCAATGGTTGTCGTCTCTCCTTGATCGATTTCGCTTTCGTACTTACCAGTGAATCGTGAATAATTTTGTAATCATGTCGAAAAAAGTTCTTAGTGGCCACGAAAAGTTTAAAAATTAACAATGTTTAAATTAACAGCGAGTTTCCCAGAAGTATGCACAGCTCTTTTATTATTTTTGACAATTCCTGTTACATCTGCTAGTGCGGAACGGTCATTTTCCAAGCTAAAAATAATTAAAGGATATTTAAGGAGTACAATGACGCAAGATCGTTTAAGTGGCTTGGCATTACTTTCAATCGAACAAGAAACCGCTCGAAAGGTTAACTTCGAGGATATAATCGATACGTTTGCGGAAGCAAGAGCAAGAAAGAAAAAGTTTTGATATATCTGAACAAATTCCTTTAAATATAAATTAAATGCTTGTAAGATAGTAAATAGGTACTATGTTTATGTTATTAAATTCAAACAAAATGTGTAATAAGAAGTGATATTATTATAAGAACACTTATCATGTTTTTAATTATTTATAGCTTATTATTAAGAGTGGATCTAGAAATAAATATTCTGGATGAGTATATGTTTTTCGTATCCCCTTCCCTCAAATTTCTAATATTAAGGGCCCGATGGATCATTTTGCCACGGGCATTAGAAGTTCTAGTTACGTCACTGATGTAAAAGTCCACATACAATTTATCATTGTTCAACTTTTTTAGCGTTATCCGTTCAAGAGCGTATAAATAAAGTAAATGATTTAAAACTTTGTCGAATTTGCTTAAGGCAGCATGCAAGTAAAAAATGTTTATCTAAATATTGTTGGCGATGTTCAAAACCGCATAATTCTTTGTTACATTTCGTTCAGCGCACGCCAACTGTAACAGCTGATCTGAACGTAAACAATATCACACCGATATCCGAATCGGTTGAATATGAAATGTTCAAAAACACCACCAACTTGAAGCCTTTAAGTTTCATTAAATTATAAACTGTTTTTTGACACTTATGGTGATCGATTGTTTTATCATACGTGTTAAAATTAAATAATAAAAATGTTGAAAAACTACTATGAATTTGTAAAAACATATGTGTTAAAAAACGTTATTATTATGAACAATGTTGTGAGCATTTATTATGTATCTACACAAGTGTAGCTAATTTGCCTATACAGAACATCGTGACGATATCAGCTAGTATTTTTGTTTGAGTTATTGAGTTTGTTTTACAAATGTAAAAACTATATGTAAGCGTTAAAAGTTTTCTTTAGTTACCAGCATATAATTAAATTCATTTGTTTATCTTAGATATGTATTTTACTAATGTACAATATTGTATATTTTGCTTATTCTTTAGTCACAACAAAAGTGGTGTAAAATAAATTAAAAAAATTAATACATGAAATACATATTTTTCCCTATGTTAATTTACATTTTATCAAATTATTAAATTAAAATAATTTTCGAATAAAAACAAATTAAGAGATTATATAATTATTTATTCACATACAAAAAACAAATTATATATAAGATATAAAAAAATACTTTGACAAACTCT